ATCCCGGGCCCTCCCGGAGGTGGCAGCAGCAGCAGCAGCAGCAGCAGCAGCAGCAGCAGCAGCAGCAGCAGCAGCAGCAGCAGCAGCAGCAGCAGCGGCCGCGCAACACCAGCCACCACCTCCATCCACCGAAGCCGCAGCCCCGGCTCCGCTTCCCTCCCGCCTCGCTGCTCTGCAGTCATGGCTGCTGAAGGAGTGGACGAACGATCGCCCCTGCTGTCAGCTTCTCACTCGGGAAATGTCACCCCCACGGCCCCACCGTACTTACAAGAAAGCAGCCCCAGAGGTAAGGCCAGACGAGACCTCTCTACTCTGCAAAGGGAAAACCTAGGATCTGAAAGATCAGGGATGCTCCAGCCCTGAAGCAGAGAGGAGCCTCTCACTTGAGCTGGGGGAGAGGGAGTGCTGACGGTGCCTTCTAAAGAGAAGCCTTCCTGCCTCTTAGATTCACTGCAGGGCTTCTCTATCTCTCCCCTTTTTTTTCTCTCTGTGTGTGAGTGTGTGCTTGTGTTTCATCACTTCTTGACTAGGGACTAAAGGATGTGACATGAATTTCCGGAGCTGGGCTTTTGCTTCTCTTTTCTGAGCAACCCTTAAGTGCAGCTGGGAGGTGGTGCAAATCTTTCACAATCATTCACAAATCCTTTGGGGTTGCTGAGAAACTGAGAATATTGCTCACCTTGGTATCTGCCCTTGAAAGGGTTTCAGCTTGGGAGAAATATGCATTTCCTAACACTCACCCGTCATCTTTAGAACCAGGGAAGTGCTTTACTTTAGTAATTTAATTATTCAATATTTCTGTTATGTCTGAAATCCCTGCCCTTTCTTATTGCTGTTTGTGTTAGCTCTGCCTGTGAATGAAGAGGAAGAACCTAACTTCGGATAGAGGGGAAGGAAGATGCAGTATTTTTGATGCTTATCTGAAAGAAGTTTAAATGAACTTTTAAAATTTAACACAAAATAACACACTATGTATTTATTTTTCTTCTGGAGATAGAACTGAAAACATTTTGTGACAGTAGTGTTTGGGGAAATTAAAAAAAATATTTCCTTTAAACAAACTAGTGAATTTATTCAAGAGCTATTTTTTGTTCTAAGCCTTTCCATTGATTCACACAGCAGAAGTTACAGAAAATGGAGGGCAAGACTTTAAAAAAAAATCACTCAGTATGATGAAAAAGTTGGCCCAAAGTGCCTTTGCAAATGTAGCTTTAAATAGATTTCTTCCCTTTTTGACTACATGTGAACAAAACTTAAGAACACAAGGAAACAGAAAGGTAATGCTTTTGAAAATATGAGCAACCCATGTTTGTTTTAACAAAACTTTTTCTGAATTCAAGACTGGAATTGGAGGAGCTGTAGAGCAGGCTGAACTTGTTCAGGATTTAAATTCCCATTGAACGCATTTTTAGCTTGATGGAAGGAGTAGAGAGTCACTGTGCCAAAAAAACAATTGGTCAGTGTCCATCCTTTTCAGGAGATAGCTTATAATAAGAACCAGTGGTATGGAAGGAAGAAGTCCAAGCTTCATTGAAGGCATTAGCCACAACTCTAGGAATTGACAAAAGATCAAGTGATGTATTTCAACATATGGGTGTAGCATGGAAAATGCTCACTTGTCTATGCCAGCTAATTTGGAAGACATCTCTCTGGCCAATCTATTCGAAGATATCCCTATTTTAGTTAGTTCCGAAGAAGGGTACACAACTAGAATGTGGAAACTACTAAAAATGCTATTAATGCCACATTCAAGTAAAATCTGGTGAGGATGACACTGAGATAGTTACAGGGGTACATTGACAGAGAACTGCTAGAGATTCAAGTGGGATTCAGAAAAGGCTGTAAAATGGGTACAGCACTGATGATGTGACATGGATCATGACTAAAAGCAAACAATACCTGAAAGAAGTTTGGATTTTATTGTCTATGTGAAGGTATTTCACTGTGAGTATCATAAAAAGTTATAGATAACATTGCAAAGAATGGAAATCCCACAACACTTACTGGTGCTCATGTCTAGAACGTACCTCTTTGTGGACCAAGAGACCCTGGTTTGAATGGAATAAGGGAATACTGCATCATTTAAAATAAGGAAATATGTGTGTCGAGATTCTATCTATCATTGCACTGTACTTGTTCCATCTGTATGCTGGTGTAGCTTGTGGGGAATTGCTCTGCTCACCCAAAGGTACCATCTTTGTGGGCAGTTTGAATCCACTAGTGGCTCTAACAAAAGAATATAGGCAGTCTCCTCCTGTGTCACTTAGAGCCTCTGAAAACCTGCTGAAATGTCAAACTATGAGTCGCTTTTGACTTTCTGGTAATGAGTTTGAGTTTTGTGTTTCTAGTATGCTGAGTAAGTAATCTGAGAAATTAGACTATATGAAGAGGAATGCTGTTAGGTATAATCAAGCCAAGAACGACTGCTAGCGATCCTAGAAAGAACAGATATGAACCCAATCCTATCCTATCCTAGCTTCAAAATCTCAGACACAATCCAATTGAGCTCATTGCTGCAGTCCACCCAGGTGAGAGTCATCTTCTCTTTCGTTATCCCTCCACCTTTCCAAGCATGATGTTCTTTAAGGAATAGCCTCTTTGGGCAACGTGTTTCAAGTATGCAAGATGAAGCTTTGCCATCCTTGCCTCCAAGGAGCAATCTGTCTTTATCTTCTCCAAGACATATCTGTTTGCTCATCTGGCACACTGTGGAATACTCAGCACTCTTCTCTAACATCATATTTTAAAGGCATAAATTTTTATTGTTACCCTTAATTCATTTTCCAGTTGTCAAATGCATAACAAGTGATTAAAGAACCATGGTATGAATCAGGCATACCTTAGTCCACAAACTGACCTCATTGCTCCTTGGTAATTTGGAAGGGTCCCTGACTGCACACTTTCCCAGTGCAATATATCTCCTGATCTCCTGACAGCTGAAAGTGTATAATTGTGAATCAAAGTAAGAAGATGAAGTTGTTGACTATTTCAATCTTTTCTTCATCTATCGTGGTATTATCTATTGGTCTAGTGGTGAGAATTTTTGCTTTCTTGATATTGAGATGAAATCCATATTGAAGGCTGCAATATTTGATCTCCTGCAGCAAATGTGTCAAGTCCTCTTCACTTTCAGCAAGCAAAGTTGTGTCATCTGCATACCGAAAGTTGTTGATGAATCTTCCTCCAGTCCTGATACCATATTCTTCTTCACAGAGTCCAGCTTCTTGAATAATTTGCTCAGCATAGAGATTGAATTGGTATGGGGAAAGGATACAGCCCTGATACACTCCTTTCTTATTCTTCTTAAACCATGTTGCGTTCCCTTGCTCTGTTTGCACAGTAGCGTCTTGGTGTAGGTGTAGACTTTGCATGAACACAGTTAAGTGTGTTCTGAGATTCCTATTCTTCTCAATGTTAGCCATACATTAATATGACCCACCCAGCCAAATACCTTTGTATGTTATTGTTGTTATGTGCCATTGAGTTGCCTGAAACTCATTGCGACCCTGTGTACAATAGCTCTGCACTCTGCCGTATCCTGAGCCGATCTCATCATCTCTGACAAACCTAATCCCAATAACCCAGTTGAGTCAATCCATTTCATCCTGGTTCTTCCTCTTGTACACTGTCCCTTCACCCTTCCAAGCATGATGTCTTTCTCCAAGGACTGGTCCCTCATGGCCACATGAGACAGAGCTTCAAAATCCTTGCCTTCAAGGAGCAGCTTGATTTCACCCTCTCCAGGACAGACTTGTTTGTTCTCCTGGCAGTCCACAGTATGTTCAGCACCACAACTCAAAGGCATCGATTCTTCTATCATCCTTAGTACATTGTCCAGCTTTCTGATGCATAACAACTAATTGTAAAGACCATGGCCTAGATTAGGTTCACCTTCGTCTTCAGAGTGACATTGTTGCTCTTCAGAATTCTAGAGAGTTTCCCGACAGCAGACATTTCCAGTGCAATTTGGTTTTTGATTTCCTGACTTCTGGTGCCATGAATGTTGATCATGGAATAAGCAAACTGGAATTGTTAACAGTTTCAGTCTCTTCTCTGTCTATTGTGATTCTGTCAATTGGCCCAGAGCTGAGAATCTGTTTTCTTGATGCTGGGCTTCAATCCAGATTGAGGACTGCAGTCCTTGATTTTCTGTAGCAGATGACTCATATC